AAATCCTGAATGAGCCTTTTGCCCTCCTCCTCCTCCTTGGAACAAAATGCAGTTTTGCCTCCACTGCAGCTGTGGGCCAACCCTGACCACTCTTGCTGGTAACACACCTTTATCACCAGCCTTTGCTTCAGAAAGGGAGACAACTACAACCTATCGGAGTTAACGATGTCTCTACCCCACAAAGACAAGCACAAAACAAAAATACTTCCCTGTAGCACCAACCCAAGCTCCTCACAGCACAGCAGAGCACCAAGCACAGACAGTCCTCAGCAGGATTCATGTGCTACCTCCGTTCTGGATTCAACCTAGCAACGCCCTAGATGTTGGGGCTGAGCCGCAGCACACTGGTGCTCAGAGGAGGGATTTCCCTAATGCTCTTCCAAAATGTAGTGGAAGTCCACCTGTTTTTTTGTAACACATGAAAAGCGCTTCCTTCCATTTGTTCTGATCCATCAAAAGGATGTTAAAAGAATGATGTTAAAAATATTGAACTTCTGGCCGAAAGGGAGGCATATGAGAAGGAGAATCGTTTCCAAGAAGCGGTTTTCTGGAAAACAGGAGACTGAGTACCTCCCAGTCACAGCAAAAGCTAAAGCAGACCCCACGCTGCAGCTGGTCACTAACACACACACAAGGCTTCCAGGTTTCCAGCCCCACTGGATCCCTCAGGGGATGCCACCCGATGCCAACCAGCTGGCAGCAGCTTCTCTCACAAGGCTGCACAGATGTGCACAGCTTGGAGCTGCCGTGCAGCTCCCCGGCGCAGGGGGAGGCCGCAGGGCCCGTTCCCCACCTCCGCGCACAGCATCCCCGCAGGTGCCACCGGGACGGCTGGCGGAAACCCCGGCTCAGCCCAGCATCACAGGCACCCTCGAAGGTGCAAATACCTGCGACACAGCCGGGTGCTGGCACCTGGGGGTTGGCGTTTTCAGGAGGGGGCTGCATTTATGACCGTACACTCACCTCTCCAGGAACCTGCCAGCCACGCTGGGGTGAAACATGGGAACCCGGGAGCAACGGTGAGGGTCCTGTGTTCTCAACAGAACTTGCCCTTATCTAGCAAAAACATTATCCCCTTGGCCTTGGCAAACAGAAATCCCAAACTATTTATCATTGTAACGAATTATGATAGGTGTTCTCCCATTTCCCTGACCTCATTACACACTAAAGAGAGCAAAGTCCCAACGCCATCCCACCACCAGCACTGCACCCTGAAAGGCTGCACAAGCAACTGGACTAAGCTGCTACAGGTCTAGGAAAGCTGTCCAACCTGCAGAAAAGGTGACAGAGTACTCAAATACACTAAGGGCTGCACCATCTGTATGACACAGAGGGACTTAAAGTGCAGGGAGTACCGAGGCTAGACATGTAGAGAAAGTTTCCTTTAAGGTCCCTTACACCAGGTCATTTTCCAGTCACTAAAGATGGAGAAAGAAACTAAGCCAAGAAAAATAAAGGGAAAAAAAAAAAAAAACAACAGGCAATTTTTAAAGGTTCAAAAGCTAATTCATCACAACTTCATCCATGGCTGGGACACGACGTACCATCTTGCTTTATTTCACTGATGCCAGGAGACTTTTAGTCCAGAGGAAGTACCAAAAGTGATGCCTTCATTTTTTTTCAGTGGAAACCTGCCAGGGAAGAAAACAAAAAATCCGTGCATACATCTATAATAGGTTGTGGTGAGCGTGAAACAAGAATAGCAAGCCAGGAAACCTTCGCATTTTGCAGAAATGGACCTTCAATTCCCTTACACAAGTTAAATATGTCATTCAAAAGGATTTTCTCATGGGAAAAAGTAAGCAATCAGGAATGGAAATAAAGTGGCCAGAGCTGATTATCTTGCCAATTTGAGATGCTTTCAGACATTCGTTTGGGGTAGGGGAACCTGGCAAAACAAAGTATTTGAGTACAAATGCAAACCCTGCCATTTTGAAACACAGGTTGATTTTATACATTCAACGATAAACACGCATGTGTGCATGTATATATACACACAGGCACACACACACTCTATAAACATTTGACTACAGTAAGGGTTTAAGAGGGAAGGAAATGCAATGTCTGTATTGCATTACCCCCTAAAGAAAGCAAGAAAGAACAGGAGGAATTGAATTGCTTTTTTCAAAACCACATTCATGTTGTATGATTTTTGTGGAGAATTTCAGGATTTTGAAATTTTTGGCAGAACATGCAGACTAAACATTGACACTCTACAATGTGTTTTTTTAAAAAACCCAAAAGCATTATCTGAAGTCTATTATAAATAATGCACAATCAAAATTTATTTTTTTAGAAGAATAAATGAGCTTTATGTATGTGTGGTTGTATTCAGACTCACCTGTGGGCCTGCTTCCTCCTCTCTTAAATTTACATATCCCAATGTCTTCAAATTCAGCTCCAAATCCACTTTGACAGCTCTGTCTAGATGGATAGATAAAATACACTGACTTCTCCTACTTGAATTAATGGAGCATATATTAAATAGTGTCTGCGGGAGGCCCCTTCAGAACAGGCATAGCAGACATATTTTATCCAAACCTACTCCATTTAAAAAGGGCAAACAATCCCAGGGGGACCGAAGAGGGCAGGAACTATCTGCAATGCTAACTAATAGCTTTAAATATAGTCTATTTTCTTCAAATGTAACTGGCATCAAATGTATTTATGTACGTAGAAAGTTCAGTGGGGTAAGAACAGCTATTTCTGGGTTGCAGAAAGGTCACAGGAATGCAAGACAAGCACTGGCGTTCCAAGGCTCTTGTATGGATGCTAAACTTGACAGGGCTTTTTAGGAAAATGCATTTTTAGTAAAGAGGTGCTGGTAGATAGCTCCATAACGATTACATGTATTAAGTAAAGGACCTCACTTGTTGATCAGCAATAAAGCTTTTTTACTGCTTGGAGCTGTGGTGCTAGGCATCTTTTTAATAACAAAAAAAAAGAACAAAACCCCTGGGTTTTTTGGTTTTAGGGCTTGGAGTTTTATTTTGTGTGTGTGTGTTTCAGGGCTTTTTTTGTTGGTTTTTTTTTTTGTTCATTTTTTAAATTAAATGAAATGATATTTTAACATAGCTGTGCAAATAAAGAAGTGATCATTTTCTGCTGCCATCTTGAAAAGTAAATGAAAAAGAAGCTTTAATGGCAGTGAATTACACATTCAAGCTAAGTAACTATGGCTTTGCATGGAAATGAGATACTATGGGAAGAGGGGTGTACCAGGCTGCTCCTTTTTAGTTTGGAGTATAGTTGGATTTCAGCCTCCTGCCATACTCAAAGCATCCAAGGAGGCCCCAGGAGGGACGTGCCTCGCATGCACCCTGCCCACAGCTCCCACAGGCGTCTGGGGCTGTGAAGCTCTCAGCCAGGGCCACGGACTCCGAGGCTCCGGAGCATTTCCAGCAGTACCAGAGTTGCAAGCAGGCTTTGGAAGCACAGTGCTTCAGACACACTGCTACCTCTAACCTCTCTGGCTGCAGGAGGTAACCTCTTCTGCTCCCCAGGCAAGGAGAATATTTAGCCACACCATCCATGTTTGCGGTTCCTCTGCAGTTGGTAACTGCAACAGAATAAAAAGAAGAAAAGCACACTAATCTATTTACTCTAACAGCTTTCCCTTGTCTGCTGCGCTGCCTGCCTTCCCCTGGGTCCAGCTGCACGTTCAAACTAAAGAAATCAGACGGGCTTTGCTCCTGTTGGCATTCTTAAAATAAGTACACGTCACCTACCCCTTCATGGATGCACAACACTGACCCCAGCACAGCTGCCACTGCTTTCAAAGCTAGACCCCACAAGGCCAAGCTGAGTCCAGAAGATAAACTGAGCCAGGTTCTCAGCAGTGCCACGGAAGTCCTGGCAAGCTGCTTATGTTGTATCTGCTCTCAGCATCCTCCCAGGAGCTGGTAAGCCACAGTGGCCTCCTGGAGCACGGCTGCTCCCAGAATAGGTCCTCCCAAAGGGCACAGCCAACGCTACTGCCCTACTTAGGAGATGAGGAGTCTTGCAACAAGAGAGATCCCAGCTGGCCGCTTACACAGGTGTTCTGGTCACACAACATGGTAGTTTGCCCAGTTAGAGAGCAGTTACATGTAGGGTTGCATACAAGTGAGGCTCAGCAAAAACCTTCTGCTCTACCAGACACAGTGCCCAAGAGCCCTCTCTTTTTTTGAATTAGTTGTTGAAGAAGTTGGGTGCCTCTGCATTGCAACTAAGCTCAGCTTTTTCCTGTAACTGCTTCCAGGGCTGAGCAGACACTTTCCATGGAAGTCTGAAGGGATCAGGTATTTCTCCCGACTTTTTACAACTAAGTTTAGATTGATGGATATATCTGGCTTCCTGGTGCCCTTCCAGAATTAATTACGTAGCAACCCTCACACCCCCAATTAGGATGTTTGTGACTCACATTTCTGAACATGTTGAAGGTGAGCTGGAAGAGAGTTAGTTCTGCTAAAGACCCCACAGCCTGGGATGCAATAAATCATTATCAGACAGCTTTTGGTCTATTAAACAGAAATAAAGGAGAACAGGTCTATTAAAAAGAAAGAAAGGAGAGTTGAGGGAAATGAAACTTCACGCCACCTGTCTCTTGAGCTAAGTGGAAAGAGGTTGATATTCTGCTCTACCTTACATAAACCCAAGGAATAGAGAGTCAATATTGACCACCAAACTGCACAACTGTAAACACAGTAGAAGATTTATATTTTGAAGAGCTTAGTCTTTACCTTTAAAAGTATTTAGGACCTTGTCGGTATTCTTGATCTTCTTGTAGTCCAGCTATAACTGTGGCTTTTGATCTTTTAATAAAAATCTAAAGTTTTCAAAGTATAACAGGAAGTGCCCTGTGGCCCATGGTATGTGAAGACAAATGAAGCAAACATTCTCCAACTCTGAATTTAATGTCTATTGCTTTGTTTTCTGCAGTTAGAGAAGACTGCACTCTGTGACCCAGCTGGTTTCTTTCAGTCCTACACTTCTATGAGTGAAATCTTGACAAAACGGAATTAAAAGATTTAGCCACCACCTTTTATTTTTGCCAAGGTGATACAGGTAGGTCTGTCGAAAATAACTGTCCATGAGTCAGTGCCTACTGTGACTGAAGAATCATCCTTTGTAATCTCTGGAAGACAAACCTCAATTAACAGTGAATGCAGCTGGTTTTTGGAGTTCAACAGCAAAGAGGCTATAAGGGATAGTGCATCAGTGAAGCATGATAATTGTTTCACTGTGCTTATTATCTAGCCCCTCAAGAAAGTGAGAACAGTCAGCTGGTAAACACGCAGTGATAGGCTGTCAGAGCAATTTTGTGCACCAGAAGAGATACAATTCTTCTCTACAACACTGATCCTAGAGGAAAGCAAAATCTCAGTCAGCTAGGTGCCCAGTGTATAACGGTCCAAGAGCAAAGGGAAGATGCATTAGCTCTACATAGTCAGAGAAATGAAAGAGGTTCCCACCCAAACCCTTCACAACATACCAACAGCCTTCTCTGTCTATGGTCTGCACAGGTAGAGGATAGTCTCTGCTCACTCGGGTTACAGTTACTTGTGTTTTGATTTCCTGAAGTCAACGTGATGAACTGTTGCCCACTGAGGAGCGTGGCATTCCCCAGGCCAGGCTACAAGCAGCTACAAGAGGAATATTGGAAGTTGACGCTACCCCACAACTAAGGCTGATTCTCAATCTCTCTGCACAAAAACGCACTGAGAATGCGTAACCACCCAGTTCCCTGCCTTGATTCACAGTCCCATCTCTTGCAGCTCCAGCCTTGACACCCTCTAGACACATAAGCCTCGCTCACCTCCTTCTCCCTTCCAACCATTCCTGTTCCCTGATCTGCCTGGTCAAGCAAACTGCCACTTGCCACACCGACACCATCCTTCCCTTCGCTGTAGATGGGCACCTCCTCAGATCTCTTTGCTCCACAGCTTCATGCCAGCCTCAGCTGTGGCAGCTGACATCCACCTTCACCACAAGTTCAGTCCCAGCTTCACTGCTAGGCTTGACTGTCCACACCCTCATTATAGCATCGAACAGGCATTTACCAGCTGGGGAGCCAAACGGTGTTAACCCCTGCTTCACCAGCACTGACCAGTAGCATGTGCTCCCGCACAACACAAAGCTGTCACACTGCAGCATCCAGTACTCCCCTCTCCACTGTGTGCATCTTCACGCACTGTCCAGGAAGCAGCCCTGCTAGCAGGCTGGCATGGTACTGTTTCAAGATACATGAATAGTAACACTAATAAATAAAAGTGAAGAAAATCAGAAGCACATCTACAAGTGAAAACCCTTGTCCAACACCAGGAAAGTCAATACAACTGAAGATTCCGGCTCCAGAATCCAAATATTATCATGTCGAGTAAGCAGATTTGTTTCAGAAGAGGCCCAGTGTCTGAAATCCTTATTGATTTCACCAATTTCTCCAGGTAAAATGTAAAAATAATTACTAGTAACAGTGACATTCTACGTAGAGATTGTCAACATTAACCCAGCGGCTATGTAGAATATGTAAAAATAGGAACCTTTAAGAGGTATGAATGCTGCCTCTCTGACAGCTGAAGAAGGCTTGGCTGAAGATGGACCCACCTCAAATCTTAAGCAACTAGGAAATTTCTGCCTGTAAGGACTGTCCTTCTCTCACAGTCTTCCGCAAGAATTATGCTGGTGCAGTAAGTGCTGTAAAAAAAGTTTTGAGTTTATACTTAGAGACCTGAACTAGGAAACATGACCTTGTATTGACTTACAGGCTCTAAACTTTCCTACTTTGAAATGCATTTTGCCCTATTTTCCTATGTCTGTGGAAAAGAGAAGATAGTCTGTAAACATCTTTTTCATCATCTAGATGATAAAAGTTGTAAAATTGAGTCTGAAGACCACACTTACATGATAGTTCTGCTCTCTTACACATATAGCTTCCTCTGGTTCACCTCATATTCTCCTGAACTTAGAGGTAAGATTGAAAAAAACCAAAAAAAACCAAAAAAACAAAAAAACCCCGTCACTGTTAATTATATGTGAGGTCCTGGAAATAGCTGCAGAAGTTGAATGCTGAAGCAGAAAAAGAAAAAAGCAGATTCACAAATTTTATACCTTACAAGAGTTCGGATTCAACAGACGTTTGTATTTTTGTTTTCTTCCTCTAGAGTTAAAAAAGCAATTAACATTTTTAAGTACACAATTTAAAAAATAGTGTTTTATGATTGACATGTTCTCAACCAATTTCTTAAACAGCTTTAGCAAAAGCAAATACAATTTCTACAGTTACAGCAGTTCAACATTTATATGAAGATATCTGTATGGTAATGTTCCTAAATTACATTCTCTACTTCCCAGAATGGCCCTCTTTCATGACAAAATTCATTTAAGTGTCATCTGTGAAATGTGTTGTACTCAGACACATACCTGCTTTAGGATTCCAGCCAGAGTCTTCTAAGGGCCTTTTACAGGGATAAATCAGGGTTTTAGATCTATGGCATTTTCTTAACAGGAATGCAGATGCAGCTTCTCATTGGAAACACAGCCCCATTTCCAAATTAGCTCAATCAACGATAGCCTAACAAGAGGCAATATGATCTATACCACACAATTGGTGTTATGTAAATCCTAATGTGGTGCTAAAAGAACAATGAAAAAATATGTTTGGCTGGAGGCAAAAATTCAGCTCTCTTTCCTTCCGCTTCTTTGACTTAAGAGACACACACTTAACTAATTGCTTTGGCAGGCCAGCAGGCTGCCTTTGCTTAATAATACCATTAGGAATTCCACAAAGTTTAAGCTTCTAATATTAAGGATCTTCAACATACACTTTTAGAAAGTGAACCTCAGGATTGTTTTCCTTTTCAAAAGATGCTTTTTCTTTCATTTCCTCCTACTAGTTGCTGCATCAGGCATAACAATACACAAACATGCAATGTGAAAACCAAACTGGGCACCCGTCTGTCACAGGAAAACTTAATACTTAAAGAGCACTCTGCTAATGAAAGGATACTCGGAGCAATTCTGAGTTCACAAATAATAGAAAACCACCTTCCCCATAAGCCTGCTTCAGGCTTGCCACATACATCCATCTGAATTTGCTCAAAGGCACGACAGGGCTCTTTGTTTTCCAGGTCTGAGTTGTGAACAAGCAGCAAAATTCCCGTTTCATATTCACAATACAAAACAAAGAATCTAACCACCAAATTGGGTCATATTTGTTCTTCTTCACACCTAATTAGATTCCTCTTTTTGGCTAGTTCAACACTCTTTCTAGATCCATAACAAAGCAACAAGCAGACAAGCATTTGAAAGATGTCTGGCTTTTGGCTTGAAGTCCACTTTTTTTTCATTAAAAATAATTATTTAACATTTAAAGAAAAGATACTACTGCCATAATGCAACTGATTTCCTCCCCTATCTGTTTTATGCAGTATAAAATATAGCAGAAAATATAATTATCAGCCTCCTACAAATGGCTGACGTTTTGGTTAGAATAGGGGCAGGGGGCAACCAGACATCTAAATGCATCACCAGTAGGGATGTTAATATGCTCAGTATAAAACTGCGGCTTCTCAAACATCTGCTCAGCAGCCTAACTTACTGTACAAAGAGATTCACTGAGCCAGAGAGGAACTACGCATCAACACGGGGCCCTGCAATATTGGCCTGGACATCAGCCTGAACGGGGCAGGCTCAGAATCAGATCACTCCCAACAGCTCTTCTTCCCCTCCAACATGCATAAAGCCTCTGATCCAGCAAACAGCTCATTCTTTTAGTCAGACCGGAAGCTCTACTGATATGTTAACAAATGCATCACTACTCTACAGCCTCAGGGTTATGGTATGCTTCACAGGAGAAAAAAATCTAATGGTTCAAACTCTATCAAGCAGAGGTCATAAACTAAACAAACCCAGAGTCTTACACATCATTAGCCAGTGTTTCCACTCCTAGACTAGCATTTAGTCAGCTCACAATCCTTCTCCTTCTGATACTGCTCCAATCTCAAAAAACAGTAGTAGTCTTCAGGAAACAATTGCAGGATAAGAAACGTTCCAAAAATGTACCTCTAGACATAGATAGTGTAAGATGATTAGGACCAAAGAAGGGTGGAATCTAAGACAGAGCCTTGCCATCTGCACTCCATGTCCACTTTTAAAGGCAGCTCCGTGGGCAACACATTTACTTTACTCTTGGCATGACTGTTTTTTGTGGTTCTTCATAGATACTGAACACATCTAATACATGATGCATAGCCCTTGTACATAATTTTGGATTCCAATATTGAGCTTGAAATAAAATTTTAGGAGGTGTGATACTCACAGTAGTACTGTGAAGTGTGTCTTGGATCAGAGTTTCTTCTATCACAACCTCCAGAAAAACTAAAGACCTGGTTGCTACAGGCACGCTAGTAGATTACACTACCTGAAATGACTGGTACTTCATAGCCTCAAAGAACCCTCTGCACCTTACAAAGGAACATGGCACAAAAAATACTGCAAACAGTAAGAAATAGTTATGCTGGTGACTGTGTTCATGGGAAAACAATTTTCATATCCAAGTGAAAAGGTATCTTCTGATCAAAGTCCCTCTCATTACTGGACCATCTTGTAAACAGGGTCTCCAACTTGAATCATTCCAGTTTTGTCAACAGCAAAGTATCTTCCGAAGAGAGGGCTGGATTTGTATATGTGTCGCTCAGACGGATCACATAAGCGGTAACTGGAGAGAGAGAGAGCACTTCTTTAGAATCGGTGGTAGCAAATTCTAAACATCAACGTATCAGTGATGAGAGAGAGGACATATGAATAGTGATGCCCTTGTTTTGGTCACTGTATTAGACTAAAAACTAAATAAATATTATAATTAAGAGACACAAGCAGTTCAAATGGAGAAAAAAAGCCTGATTGTACTCACACATCTGTGTATAATACACATACAAGACTTTATAAAAGAAAAATGCCAAATTTGCAAAATTAGGCCTTTAAATACCTTAAATACCTGCTACCCCCAGGAACTCACCCTAGCAGAGATGAAAGAGACAGGGAATGTAAAGTTTAAAAGAAAGAAGAGAGAATTTCCTCAATTTTCTTACCATATAGAATTGCAGAAAGTAGAACTGAAGCCAATATACACAGACCTTTACACTGCATTATTATGTCCCACACATACTTCAAACCACTTTTAAAATGCTAGTCTAACATCTGTTGGGATCTAGCCTAAATCCACTCCCACAGCCTAAGCAGCACTGGTATTTTTACAACCTTTTCAGTGTTTCCAGGGGCTCCTTCCTGTCCAGCACCCCAGTGTCTGGGTTAACAGTTGTTAAAATACACCTGCAATGACAGACAGCACCAAATCAATAACGGCTTCTTATCATAAATCTCTATACATCTATATAAAGCATCAGTCTCGAATGTTTACCTGGCACAACACACTGTCCCCTTCATCTCCACATCACCAATAAGAATGTCCTCCCAGGTATCCTGAGGGAAGGTAAACATTACGCACAGATTAGACATATCCACATGCAACCATTTTTCCAGGAGTGGCGCAGTCATTCCTAGAAGAAGCAGCACCATTCCAGATCATCACTTTTACCTGTAGCTTCAAAATAAGTACCATTATATTACGGTACTATTTTAATGAAAACCCTACAATCACTACATTCATTCAATTCAGGACCCACTAGAATTCTATCTGGAAAGAAAGATACAGAAGTAATAAATCCTGTTCTGCAGTGTGGACTTGTCTGGACCTAAACCAAACTTATTCTTACTGTATGTATGATAATCTGATCTGTGATCTCTGGTAAATCACTGTGTTTGCAGGAAGGAAATTTTTAGCAGAGGTTAAGTTTTGCTTTTCGTCTACACAAGCTTCCTATTGCAATCCTTCTCAGAAAGCAAAAACCCATTCCCATTTTAGGAACTTCTTCGGTTTTGGAAATTATCAGAACTATCCAGAGCAAATTCTTTGAAAAAAACGGCAACATGACATAAAAACACTTAAAAGCCACCATCACCAGTTCACTTCATCATCAGATACGTTCCTAGATAGTGCTTTCTGAACTACCAGAACACTGTCAGAAATGCTGTAACAGGCGGAAGTATTGCAAAGGTCACCTTTACTCTTATGCCAAAGGCTATAAAACACTACACTGTCAATTTACAAATTATTCATTTGTACCATTAATTGATCAATTACAGCATGCATAGCTTCCCCTACTTTACACTGACAGATGAGCTTTCCATAAAAGCCTGTCATTTCAACACACTTACTTTATCCTTTGTCAAGCTAAATAAGCATTCACAGACCCGACCCCTCCCTCAACGTTTCACAAGCACTGACATGAGCAGAACTGAGAACTGGAATCCTGTCTCTCGAATCCAGTTGTAAAAACCACAGAACAGCAGCTTTCCTCATCCTTGTAGGCACCATCACACAAAGAAATTGAGTTACAAAGAAACATAACCAAGCCTTCAAAAAGACATTTAAGATCATTATTTTACCTCCTCAAAAGCACTGCAGTCTGCCACAAGAATATTTGGCCTGAAGTTCTCTATTTTAACTTTCTTCTCCAGCTTGGTATTTAGATCTTCCAGTGAAGCTTCTGAGATGATCAAGACTGGGCTACAGTCAGGATAGGCAACCTACATAAACAAACACAAACAAATCCTAAAGCTGCTGTAAGAGCACGGGAGCAAAGTTACTGAATGGCAGAAAGACAGAACCAGTAGCCACATATTAGTCTGACTGTTAGGCTGCTGCATTCAGGTTTTCATTTTCCTGGAAGCAGGTTAACAAGTAAAATAATGTGCCCTTTCCTATTTCAGTAACCACAGCAAGTTTCATTTGCTCAAATTGTAAAATTAAACTTATATTTAAAGAATTAATCCAGAATTATATAAACTACCACAACTTCTTGCAAAATAATACTGTATGCATGCCCCAGACATTTATTCTGGGTGTTACAGACGGAACTAAGTATATCAATAAAACACGCTACAGTAAGTTATGAAAGGTACTTAAAGACTTTTATGGACCTGCAGAATTTACCTGGTTGAATATAACCAACTAACTGGATTTTTCTACATAATGAGTCTATCTTATCACAACACCAGAGGGAGTTTCACATACAGAACAGCAATACTAAATTGCAACTGTCTGTTTGTCAGTCTGAGTTTGCTTAGAAGTGGGAGGGCTGCCATTTTGGCAAACAAGGCTGATGAATGGTATTAAAATAGAACTCCTATACACACTACATCGACGGGATAGAAACAAAAGGAGAAATTTTGGCAAGAATCTTAGTGTATAGTTCTCCTCATGTCTTTCTCTTATATTATCCTTTCCCTCTTCCTCCTCATACATGCCTTTACAACCACAAGAAAATGAACACTGAAGTAACTATACAAACAATTTTATCCTCTTTTCATGCCAGGATTCCTGACTGTCACCCCTCCTACTCTGACATAACCTTTTGCCAAAACCATTAGTCTTTTGTATTGGTCTCAGTGCCCCTACCTAATAAATGCATATGTATAAAAGTCCATAATTGAATACGCCACCTTCTCTTTGTGCAACAAGCCAAACACTGATGCCCTATAGATAATAGCATCACAGCAGTAAGGTAAGGTACTCACAATTTGCATCTGCTTAAAAAGCTTACTCTCATCAGGTACTGGTCAAACAGTTTCCATGTGAGAGAGTTGTTCAGGTAAAAAAAAAAGCATCAGCAGCTCCAATGATATGAGGACGCCTTAACACAGCATCTCCTATGCCTACCTGTACTAACTTTCTCTAATATCAGACCTCCAAGCCTCTTCCCACAGAAAGAGGGAGATGAAACCTCTGTAACCTTTGGATTTTAATTTCTAGGCCTACTACTATAGAGCCCTGGGTTAAGTGTCATTCCTTTAAACAAAACATGAGGTAACACAACTCGTATCAGTACACTCCTACACCTAACAATGGATAAGGAACGAAGGTTTTCTATGCAACACATTACAGCATCAAAACATCTTTAAAAAATAACTTTCTTCTATTCACTGCGGCACAGAAGGAATACTATTGTGCAGTGTAATAGTTCCTCTTCAGATATCAGTATCTGACTCTTTAGCCATGAATGGCCAATAGCTTGTAACAGATTTAAAGTAAAACTTAATCAAGTCATCTCATCATAGAAATGGAGAATATTCATGTGGTTTAAGCACATGACTACATACATTGCTAAACTGGGTTCAATCACCAATGACAGAATGGGCAGGTTTCGGTGGGTGGGTGGGAAACGGTTAAAAGAAAGTACTTCTGAGAAAAAGAATATTCATTTACCTCATCTGTGGTTCGGAAAAGGTTTATTACATCCTTTGACTTTCTTGGCACCATGGAGGGCTCAAAGTGCACCAGTCGATATGGCTCTGAATTCAGGAAAGTGGTGATCCACTGAGCCACTTCATCTCCACAGTCCCTGCCTTGGATGTCCAGTCCAAACAACCTGAAACATCACGAGACATGTCAGCAAGTTAGCTAGAAAGTCGAACGCTCAAGCATGCTTATTATTCAAGGCAAACAAATTGTTTTACTAGTAGTAGCAAGATACAGTAAACAAACTGCCTGGATCGTAACAAGGTGAAATCTGGTTTCTGAATTTGGCACAAGGATCATTCCCAGTACGCCATCTCCTTGTGGCCACCTTGCTTTGGAAGTTAAGTAACATGGACATGGCTGGATGGTACCAGTTGGAGAAAGCACGAGCCATTACATAGCCTTCAGGTGGCCAGAACTAACTGTCACATCAATGACCAGTAACAAACCTATCTGTTTGCCATACTTTCAAGCAAAAAAAAGGGTCTACTCTTGCATTTGCATGTGACTGCAACACCAAAAGATCTCTAGACAGAAATCAACTGAAAGGCTATTAATTTTAGAACCCATAGTTTGAAGAGATGTGGTTAGTTACTGTAGTTGACATTTACAAGTGTTACTAATTGTAAATGCCCCCAATTGTTAAGGAAACTTTCCTTCAGATTTTAGCGCTGTAAAAATTTAGCCAGAGGTGAGTAAAACTCTTACGCTCAAACTTAGCACATAGCACATCTCAGGAAGAGAGATTAAAGATTTATAATGGAAGCAAAGTCCATAGGGCATAACAAGCCACTGGCAGCAGAATACAAACAAGTTTACGCAAGGAACACTTGCCTGGCCAAAAAAAAGCAAACCTCAGCTCAACCTTTCAATAAACTTCAACACCAGTCATGAATAGTTTTACTACTCTCTTCAAAGTCGTGATTTTGACCCAGATGCACTGCAGTTTCCTCTACCTCTGCAACTGTACCTTGGACAGCTTAAAGCACAGAGATGCCCGGGCAGTGCATCTAGCCTGAGCCCAGCTCCTTAGAGCCCTCCTTTACTCCTCTGCGGGAGAGCTGAATCATTAGGGTGCTGGCAGCAGCTTCCCTGCTCTGTTTGCTGGGATCGCTGTAACAACTCTGCGACACAGGTTGGGATTAAACGCCATTGCCCCGGACAGCATTCAACTGTCTTTCTCTTCCCTCTATTCTCTCTGTCCCTGTGTGCCTTCTGGCTGGCACAGCCACAGAGATGAGGGTCTTACAGCTTCTAACACTACTGTTTTCCACCCACAAAGCAGACCTATCCTGCACACTCAGCAGTACAGGGATCCGTGGGAATAGATAATGCAATTTAAGTATTCCAACACATACTGACAAAGAGGACAAATGAAGAATAACGAGGCTTCTTAACCAGAGGGCTATAGGAACCCGCTAACATTTGCACAAATAGAAACTGTGCCTACACAATGGCTTCAGTCCTCTATTCGACTCCCCCAAACACAGGGGTTTTAAATATCCACGTAAAATCCACAGCTGGATTTACCAGTTTCAAAGATGATCATCTGCACAGCCTTTTGCAGTCAGACACACTATTGCATTGCCTCAGCTCCCAGCTACCAGACACGAGCCAGCACCAACCCGAAGGCATCGGGCTCGCCGGGTGGTGGAATAAAAACAAGTCTGTGCAGAGGGCCTTGCTGGCAGAGTGTACCGTGCAGCAAGACAGCTACTCCCACTCACAAACTGGAAGGGAAGAATCTAAGAGCAAAAGCCAAATCTTCATTTTCCTGAATACAGTACTATGCCCAAACCTCATTCTTGTAAGAATGTAGGAATGGCTGAATGGATCAGAAAGAATCAACTTTGAGCTAACAAATGGCAGATTGTTTAAGCACAGCAGAGCTGCACTTTTCAGGAAGAATCCTGAGGTTTTGTATGAGGCAATGTTTAACTATGGGTATTGCTAATTTCACATCCTATGACACCACCTACAATACCGGGCAACCTGGTAATTTTTAAAGTCTATTTACATTCATCTAACTTTTGCTTGCTTGCATACCCAAATTCTAGCAATTTTAAAGCCAGAGAGTGCAATAGCTTATTAAGGCAAAGAAAGAAAAAAAAAATAAAGAGAAGAACAAACCACTGAGATCTAAAATTGGAAAATCCAAGGTAATTTTTCATTACTGAAATGTATTTAGTATATTTAAATACTTTTCTAATGGCACAACAAATTTTAGAAAAATATCTTGAAAATGGCATGTTTTTGTAGTGTGTGTGTCATTGGCTAACATATAGGCATTATAAACAGGTTTTTAAAAGACTGTCCTGTTTCTCCATGAGAAATGCTATCATTTCTAACTTGCACCTGCCTTGTATAAACAGAGATAGCAAGCCATGCTGATCAAGCGTTTCCACAGCAACAGATTTATGCTAGTGAACACAGTTCCTTTCCAGCACTCTTTTAATTATAGCAGCTGGTACATTAACCTTCTCTGCTATCCAAAGGAAAAACACTTATCACTATCTTTGTAGGGGCTACCATAATTTACAGTTACTAAATAGTCTTGCATGTTAACTGACTTTTTAGCAAAGACAAGGCTTTCTGCTTCCCCCTTGCAATTTTCCGTCATGGATTTTCAATACATGGAACTAGGCCTGCATTCATACAACAAAACTCTAGGCACACAGCTAAACGACTGTGTTTGTAACCCACTCACCTGAAACCCCTGTGAGGTAGCACCTATGGGGAACAATTTGCTCTCTGGGGATGCCTGATTTTCCCCTGTGACCACAGAGTGAGCCTCGGGCAACCAAGTTTTTAATTTAGGCACTTCAGTTAGATGCCTACAGACATGGGTTAGGGAATCTAAACTCTGACATCTCACCAATTCCAAATGGCCAATGTGCATCCAAAAATGCTAATGCATACACTAGTGATGACCAAGAAATACCAATATGCATGACTAAGGCTCTGAGATGTAACTGCTCACCCAGACAAAAATGAAAACACTGTAAGTAAACACAAATGAGTAAACATGACATTCTATGAAGACAGAAGATGGCAGTTCATTTGACAGATGCATGATCTATAGTCTTTGAATATTGTGTCATCTTCTAATGAGATTGTTTTCACCAGTGTTTAGCAGATTAAAATTGGACCTTTTGTCATGACAATCAATCGTGGTCTCCTATACAACACATGGCAGAGAATTCTACAGAATCACAGAATGGTTTGGGTTGGAAGGGGCCTTTAAAGACCATCTAGTTCCACACCCCCCTGCCATGGGCAGGGACACCTTCCACTAGACCAGGTTGCTCAAAGCCCTGTTCCAATCTGGCCTTGAACATTTGCAACGATGAGACATGAACAATTTCTCTGGGCAACCCATTCCAGCGTCTCACCACCCTCATTGTAAAAAATTTCTTCCTTATGTCTAATCTAAACCTACCCTCTTTTAGTTTAAACACACTGCCCCGTCCTGTCAGTGCAGGCCCTGGTCCGAAGTCTCTCTTCATTATGCGGACAGGGCGACAGACCCTTCCCCACCCCCCAAAAGAAGCAGAAGCACCCAACTTTCCCCTTCCAATTTCTGTGTAAGAAAATGCAGACCGTCACACAGTCTTTAGAAGCAAAGCCTGTTAAGAGAGAGACAGTAGAAAGAAGGGAAGGAAAAAAAAAAAAAAAACATCAAACCCTTCTTCAGTACCTGCAGTTCCGCACGGTGTTTTTCCTGGGGACCTTTATAGGCAAACACAGCTTCTTCATTTCTGGGGCCTCCAAGGTCAGGTGCCCGTTTTCACAGCTGACAGAAACGAGGACCAGCCGCGGCTCCTGGCGAGCTGTAACCATGTGCCCGTCTTCCTTAGTCACCATCCAAAACCTGCAGCGCGGCAGGAGGAGGGGGGGGGGGGGGGTCAGAAGCGCGCAGAGCCGCGTTGAAGGCCGGCGCCGGGCCTTCCCGGCTGGGCCGCGCCAGCACAGCCGCCGCCTCTTAGAAGGAAAACGGGTCCCACCCGCGGGGCCGGCCCCCGGCGCCACCGCCGTACCTGTCCCGCAGCTCCCCGCTCTGCAGCCCCATCGGCGTCACCTGCGCCCGCCGCACCGCCACCCCCCGGCACGACTTCACCGGGTACACGAAGAGGCTCAGCACGGTCCCCACTCGCTGCAGGCGGCGGCGGCTCCGGCTCCGGCTCCCCGCCGCCCGCCTCCACCGCCAGGCCCCCAGCAGCGCGCCCAGCGCCGCCAGCGCCGCCGCCGCCCCCCACAGCCAGCCCGGCCGCGCCGCCCGCACCCACGGGCCCAGCGCCCCGCTCATGGCGACCGAGCCGCGGCGGCGCCCGAAGGGGCCGGGCCGCGGGATGGCGGCCGCCCCCCTCCCGCCGCTCCCGGAGCCCCGCGGGGGCGAGGCCTTCGGGGGGAGGAGGAGGAGGAGTGCAATCACAGCGTGGAAAATAAAAAGGCTTGGCGCGCGCGCTGCCCCTGTCCAGCTCGACAAAATACGGGCAGCAAAATGCGTTTCTTCCAGTATCCAGGCTTTTGTTAAAAGCAGTGTCGGCAGAAAAAAGTATGAACTGCGTAGAAATGCAGAGATTCAGCCGTTTCCTCGGCCTCGGAGAAGAAGGAGCAAATGGGTGGCTGGAGGCGAAGAGCCGGGGGGGGGGGGGGGGGGGGCAGCAAATGCCGGTGCCTGAGGTGGGGTGAGGGTCTCAAGCTTTTGGCTGACCCGGGGTGCCTGCCCGTGCCAGCTGCCTGGTACCAAACTCGTGAGACCCCCCACTCCGAGAACTCCCCTCCCAGTCACTTTGGGCGACACGCGGCTGAGAGGCAGCTACAACATCACGGAACAGGCTGGAGTGGCCCACGGTCACGTCATCACGGGTCTCACCTCACAGGCAAAGCAAGAGCCTTGGCTGTTGATTTCCCTCCAGCTCCACCGTTCAGGCTTGCAGGGATCTGAAGGCCAAACTCACAAACAGAAATTTTTAGGATCAGTGTGCTGAGACCAAAATCCTGGCAGGCAGAAGATGGGGAAGCTCAGTGCTGGGCATTTCTGAGAGATTCAGACAGCCTGGCCATGATGGATTACTGGAAGTACTACATCAACAGCATCTTGGCGGACAGGAACGCTGAAGATGTGGCTGTCGTGGGCCTCTCTGACAACAAGTGCGTGTGGGTGGCCAAGCCAGGAGGGCTGCTCACAGCCATCTTGCCCCAAGAAGTGGGCTTGATCACAGGCCAGGATCGGAAAATGTTCCTGCTGACAGGAATCACCATAGCTGGCAAAAAGTGCAGTGTGATTTGTGACAACATGCTGGTGGATGAAGACAATGCGATGGACATCAGAAGCAAAGGCAGTGACAGCAGATCCATCTGTATTGGCAAGACCCCCAAAGCCCTGATCTTCCTCGTGGGTGAGAAGGGAGTCCGTGGAGGAGCCCTCATGCAAAAGGTCCATGATATGATTGTGGGCATGAAAGCATGAAGCAAATACTGCCAAAGAGACAGACATCTTCTCCCTGAGCACGGGGGCACGGTCGTTGCTGTACCAGAGAAGGGAAATAAACCAAATTTTATTGCAGATGTCTTTGCCTGCTGCTTTCAGGTGGAGGTTGCTGGGCAAGCAGCAGTGCTGGGACACTTAACAGTCTACCTGTCCTGCTGTGGTACAGACAGGAGTAACGTGCATTGCTCATCAGGATACTTGGTATTACTTGAGTGGTCTCCCAGCCATCTTGGGTAGTTGCTCGCTGTTATTCTCATTTTCCTGACTGATTTCGGGGTGAAAGTCTCTGATAACATTAGCTTTGGGAAAGGGCAGGAGGGAGGGCAAAGGGATTGCCACTTTGTTCACCACTTGCTGTTTAAATCATGCTTTAATGCCAGTTGTGGTTTTTGAGACCTTTCTCCTACATGTAAGCCACAACACAGGACTTGTGTTTATTTTGAATTTGACCCTGGAACAAGTCCAGTTTGTTCTGGAGATTAACTACTGATCAGCAGAGCCTTGTGCTGCTGTTGGACTGTGTGGGAGGCACATGCAGAGATAGTCTGCCACCTGCTCACCTTCCACATCATTTGAAACCCCTTCTTATGCTACTTTACTGAGCAAATTGGGTTTTTTTATAAGTTGCCTGTCTTGCGTCTGTGGCATGGGGATCTTCTGAAGGTTGCTTCCTTTCCATCCTGCTCAGTCACACTGGCCTCAAGATCGCAGGTCCCTGTAAGCCCACCCAGGACTCTGAGGAGGATGAGGAGTTGTGCGAAGCACTGCAGATTCCCTCCTCCATTCACCAGCACAGCCCTCCCCTCCTGCTCCCACAGGCCAGTCTGAAACAAGGCAGAAGTGGTGTGCTTGGGATGGGACTGACGCAGGGAAGACTCGAGGGGTATCTCTGGCAGGGCCAATCTCCTCACACATGGGTTTTCCTTGCTCCATGGATCCTGGCAGCTGTGGCAGCTGCCTGGCTGTGAACCCGAGCCCACCACACGCCATCCTGCTGCAGCACAGATGGGCTGTGACCACTCACCATGGGGAGACACCCTGTCCTCCATACCCCTGGCACCCCCCCATTGCACCAGGTAAATTATAGGTGCTAAACTGCTTGGTCTGGTTTGACCAGACCTCTCCCACCACCTTTAAATTGTTGACCCACTGAGTCAAAAATAATTACTCGTGATGACTTACGACTCTGCCACAGACAGGAGAGGAGAGCCAGCCCTGCTGAGCAGACTGAGAGCCCTTGTGTGCTCTTTGAGAACCATTAATCTTCTCATTTAACACGGAGTCAATATTTTGTAATTTAATCAAATTCACACAGAGATATTTAATCTGTAACTGCATTCACAAGAGCAGAAGAACGCTGTTAGGGGAACTAAGCATCTAATGTGTTAGATGTTCAACAAAACTGCAGTGACTCTAATCAGTAAGCACTGTCTGATAAGCAGTGCTTACAAGCATGAATCAAAACAAGTTAACAGGAGTACTAAAGGGATAAAACCACAAAAACACAAACTGATTTTAGAATCTAAAAGCAATACATCAAATGCAATAAATGAAAAAAAAATATTTATGCTGGCCACAAGTTTTTTAAAAATCATGGGCATTCCTGAAAAGCATTAATGCTTATTTTCACAAGCTTAAAGAAAAAATGAGTAACTATCTCCTGTGATTTCTTGAGCACTGGTAATATTCTCCACTGCGCAAATCGCGAAACACATAAGGCTTTTGCCCTCAGAACTTTCAGCCTAAAAGGCATCAAAACGACAGGATTTGGAATAAGAGGAAAAAAAATTGGATTATTTACTGCTTGCTTCCTTCTTCTGGGTGCCAGAGAATATAGGGATGGAGTGCATACATACTTTACCAGCATAAGAATTCGGGGAAGTATGGACCTGTGTAGTGTGATGGTGTTGTGAATAGCTACAGCTCCTCCCTAGTTACACATTATGGGCAGTGTACAAAACCAGATTCTTTCAGTTTGAAAGACTTGTTAACTAAATTCGGAAATAACTCACCTCTTCTAACAACTGCATGTTAATTTAGAGAAAAAATTATTTCTAAATCCAAGAAGGATCTTAAACTTTAATTTCCTAAATCTACCAGCCTGGAGAATAAAGAGATTTTGTTCAGACCAGCTCTGAAAAGCAGCTGTTATGTTCAGCCCTGAGTCTTGGAGACTATGGCATGAAGCAGCTTGAAGAGGAATAACAGAAGGCAGCAGCATCTGCATAATCTCTCCTCTCCTGCTGTGATACAAGGAATATAAAATTAGAAATAGCTGCAGAGGGTGTGGTTGTGGTTTAACATTTCAGGTCTAAAACTACAGGAAAGCCCTCTTCACCCATACACCAGGCACCTCTCAAAAAGCATCCTGTAAATAGCTTGACCAGCAGGTTTGTTTAATCCTCCATCCCAGGCACACCTGTGCTTACCTAGGAGCCACCAAGTCCTTCTGCTGCAAAGCAATGTGAATAGAGCCATTCAGACAAAATGTAGGTACTGCTTTTGTTACAATCCAAACACAGCCTCTTGTGTGACAGAATTGTATTTGCTATAGCCAGAGTGGGCACGGCAAACCTGCAGCTAAAAGGAAATGACCATGTTTTCAATTGCTTATAACTTCATCAAACTTAAGGACAGTTGTGCTAAAATTCTCTGTACCAGGTTCTTGTCTCGGGCTTCTTAAAACGTGTCCGATCTGATCAAGGATTCACAGTGTCAATCCCACAGCAAACTGGGGCTGGGCGCTCTTAGTCACAAAAGCGGGTGATGCTGGCGTATCTTGAAATAGCATGGTGTCACCTCAGAAGCATCCACATGGCCAATTTTTGAGTGGAACAAATTTTATGGAAAAAGTAATGTCATATCTGCCTTTAGATGCAGTAGGCAATTGGAGGTAATTCTTCTAGAGGCAAACCTAGACTCTTTTATAGCAGCAGCTCAATCAGAGGTCTAAGGTGAATGAGGAAGAAAGAGTTGAAGAATTTTACTTGTTTCACTAAAAAAAAAAGACAAGTGACTGGGGATCTTGCAGATCTTCAATCTGTGCACAGTGCTGTAGTTAGGAAAGGCATAAAATACTGCTCTGAGGGGGAGATTTGGATGGACATTACAAAAAAAATATCTCAGTGGCAAAGACAGCAAAATGCCGCCCTAGATTAGGTGACAGGGTGTTAACTTGGAGCTATATGTAGTCTGAGCTTGGCTCAGTGAAGGAATAGGGTTAAATGCCCACACCAGGGATATGCCAGTTATTTTTCCAGTGACTCCCTGATAATACAGCAAAGGGCAGGGATGAGGGGATGACATGGCTAAGTACACGCAGTCATCCTACGCTGATTTCAACAAGACATGATAAAAATTATATTACATACACACAAGTTACATCCTTCTTCCAAACTTAGAACAAACAATAAATTCAAAAGACTCCTTCATAGAGAGGAGGTGAGGACAAAAGCATTGCTGTTTCCTCTTAAAATCTTCAAGGAAATCAGAGTTCAGTGAGTCATGTACTAGAAATGAGCTCAGTGAAATTCATGTATGGAAAAATCTCAGGCAAATAATTGTCAATTATAGAATTAAAAATAGAGTCATTAATGATAGATGCGTTTTAATGGAGCGAGAGCAATGAAATAAAGGGAACTTTTTTTGTGAGGCTTTACCTACACAGGGAATTATAAATACATAAAAGCCAGGCAAGTTGGTAGGCTACTTTGCTCAATGTCCAGTCATATAGGAAGATGAATTGAAAATTGTCTTTTTCCTCCAGTCAAATGCTAACCTTCAGTCTCTCTAAATTCACCAGGACTATACAGAAATTGTTGTGCCAAACAAATGTTTGGCCCAGTATTAACTGATGCAGGCTAATGACGTTACAAGTTCTCCTCATGTTCTGTAAATGTGATTTTCCAGGTGAATAGAATACCCATCAAGCAGCTTTACGAGTCTAAATAGTCAGGGTAGAGCTGCATGTCACCTGGGGGAGCAGGTAAGGACCAAAGGAGAGGCTTTACTGGGGAGCAGTGCATTTATTCTGCAGCACAGGGACTAACACACTTCTGCGGCTATGGCTTATCAGCCATCACGGCGGAGGATGGGATTCACCAAGGACAGGAAAGTCTCCACCCTAATTCAGGCACAGCTGAAAAAACAATCTGATGATAGCTTAGTGTCGCAGGAAAGGAAGGAGCAAGGATTCCTTTACGGGCAGCAGGAATAGTGGAATACAGAAAGCATGAAGAGGCAAGTACACACGGTGTGCTGGAGCTGGGGTCCAAGGCAGCTCCTGGGGGAGGTCATTCCAGTCTGCCGACCTCCGTTCCTCCAGTGTTTGCAGTTACACAATCTATCTTAAGCAGTTGTGATCTCTCCAGCAGAAGATGAGATTCAGGAACAAGAAGTGGCTGTGGCTAATCCCCTTCCCTCTTGTGAAACATCCTTAATGCATGTTTTTAAGGCACAGCAAGAACCTCAGGGCAAAGTGTAATGCAGTTTTAGGTGTTGAAGGAAAAAAAACACCAGAGCAGTGTTCTTATGGCTTTGCTTTTGAAACACTTGAATATAGCAGGCTCAGGATTCAACTGGGTAGAAAACACTGGTATACAGAGACACACAGTACACTGCTGGGACCCAACATCCTAAAGATGAGTCTGGACAAACGAGGAGGCCAACCTAGGGGAGGACAGGAAATCCCTGCGGGAGATGAGGCAGAACAGCCAGGCAGCCTGACAAGGCTGGAAATCTGATTTTTTCCCAGGAGATGGCACTAAAGGACAATTGCCTTTCAGGCAGCATAGTGCAAAGAAACGGAAACTTTGCTGGGGGCCAGACTGTTCCCTCAAGCAGTTTGTGCTGCCATCTTCGCAAGTCTCTCCTTGTTATCAGAAACAAAGTTCTATTCTTAGTGTCTGTGCTTTTAGCAAGGCTGAGGATATCAGTTTTCTACATCTTCATATGGTAGGCAAATATAAGCTTTCTGCTTACCGTGACAGGATCCCACTCATAGCCTCACAGTCACCCAGGCTGGAAGGACCCCGGGAGGTCTCTCCTCCAGCCTCCTGCTCACAACAGGATCAACACTGGATTTGCACCAGATTGCTCTATGCTTTGTACAGTCATGCCTTGAGAACCTCCAGGGACAGATACTTCCCAGCCTCCTGAAGTAACCTCTTCTTAATTATTATATTAGTGGGGTTTTTGCCCCCTTGTATCCAGCTGGAAACTCCCCAGTTTCAATTTATGACCATGGCCTCTTGCTGTCTGGCTGCGGACTTCAGTAAAGAGCCTGGCTCCATCTTGTTGGCCACCCCTTCTTAGGTTTTGAAAAGCTGCTGTCAGGTCCCTCCTAAGTCTTCCGTCCTCCAGCTGAACAAGCCCACAGCCCTGAGCTTCCCCTCATAGGCAATGCAGGATTTAGGAAGGAGCACCACCCTCTCTGAGCTCAGGCTAGACTTCACTCCAACAGGCCTGGCAGCCTGACACTACTTCCTACAAGGAGAAGGAAGGGGAGAAATTTATTCCTTCACTTTCTTTTAATATAATTATCTCCATTAACCTACAAACTCTCTAGGATCTCCTGCTCCTTGAAGAAAAAGGATTTCCAAAGCACACTTTGTACAGGTAACTTCAGCAACTTCATATACATTTTAGGACCAGTTTTGTCTCAGAAGAGGCCAGTGCCTACTTAACAAGGGACTCAGGATACAACAAAAGAGACCACTGCTTTTACAGCACTCCAACACAAAACCTACCCTCTTGCCAGCCTTGCAGACAGGCAGAGGACAGAAAGGTCATTCATCTCTGAAGTGAACCTTGGCCTGGGACTGGTAAAGCCCTGGAAGAGCCAGAGTGATTTGATGTACGGCTCTCCTTGGTGACAGCACTTCAAAAGCAAGCTGTGCAAGAGTGCTTCCTTGCTACGAATGTTGCAGGACAAAGGACAATAGCTGTGATTCCTCTGCCATTTCCTCAGAGCTTATGGTAAACCAGAGTAGTAATTAAATGCTCTGGCAAAACCAGCAGAAGTAAGCTTTATTGTACTCTGTGACTCATTAGGCAGGCACTAGGAATAATCAAGGATTTAATTTAAAAGGTACTTGCCAGGCTGTCACGTTAGTGGAGCTCATTCCTGAGAGAAGCTTGGATGAGTTGACTGCTTCTTGTCACTCTTGCATGTGCTTTCCGAACTTATTTATCCTGCCATTTGTTACAGAGCATGGTGAAAGGCAGGAAGAAATGTGAAGGGAACCAGATAGCACAGTAGCACACCACTGAAAACAAAAACCTGTGAGGTAAAGCGATGGGTGGAGGCGCCAAGCAAGTGCCTGAAGGGAGGAACAGATTTCATCCAAACGAAATCCTCCCCGTGTACCCACTATACCATAACATCCACTACATCCCACCTCCGTCTACAAGAGGGTCAACGTCTGTTTTGTTCCTCAAACAAACAGGAGATAAGCTACAGACAAGTCCATTTTAACAAAAGAGCCTTCCGGGCTTGGCACGCTGTCAGGGCTGCCCCGGAGCGCCCAGCCTCCTCACCGTCACCCGCTCTCCTCTGAGCCGCTTGCAGACTTCCAGCACAGCAGCTCTGCTTCAGAGGGAGGCTGCCACTTCTTGTCTGATGCTGAGTTCATCAGGGAATATTTCGTCAGCTCTCATGTCACCGAGACAACATTTAGCAACAGGGCTGCAGGATCTGTCCTGTCCCACCTGTTTGCACCGTAGCTGAGCCAGACCTGGCACAGCAGGAATGCTGCCTTGATTGACAGGAACTACAGCCCTCTGCCATCCACCCTGCCGCAAAGTGAACCTCATCCCCCAGATTCAGATTCTCTAGACACTGCTGCGGGAGCTTGGATGGTGGAGAGGATAGCAAAGCCTCAGGCCAAGGCTTGGCCTCACAAATTCACTTTACCAGCTGAGGAATGAGTTACTGCTTAAGGAGAGGTGATAAACAGCACTAATTGGTAGCTTCAGTGAGAACTATCAGTTCATTCTGAGGAAGGAAAATAGGCTGGCATGAATCACCTGGTGGATTATAGCAACAGCATAGGTTCCTTGCTTTCTTTTTCTTTGTTTTGGGTCTATTTTAGAAACACCATTCAGCAGAAGCTGACTCACTAACACGCATCAAGCTTTTCTCTTCTCAGGCTCACATAGAAACACCATTTACCTATCATTCAGGTTCTGTATGGATGGCAACCGGGTTATTCCCTTAAAGTTGCATCATGCAAGCAGAGACTATACGTCAGCAGGCAAAAGTCAGTGGTAACCACTGCGCTGAGCAGTTCACAAGCTAAAGTTCATGTTTACCTTTGCGGAAAGTCCCTGCACTGAATGTGCAGGACCCTGGCTGTTGCAATGAGGGAGAAGCCTTTCTCTTTGGAGGACATGGAGACAAATAGATGGACGCTCATTTCACACAGAAAAATGGAGACACAAATCCTGCCTGCATTGCTTTAGTCATTTAAAGAAAAGCTCTAATGATTCATGCTGTAAAAGCACTGTAAAACATAAGAGTGGAGTAACAAAACTTGAAGTTAATCCCAAAATATGCAGGCTGATGTGGCATGTGGGTGTTAGGACAGCCCTGTTCTAACTGCAGAAGAGTATCAGTACCCTCTAGCATGCTGGTGGGATTGGAGGGACAGGTCTGTCCCCACAAGGAAACTCGAGAAAAACAACTAAAGGCATGAAATCAGTGGAAAAAAATCCCTTTGCTGCTACTCCTACCCCAGCTCATGCAAGCTTAGATCCTCTGCAGCCTCATCTCCGCACTTTGCCTTTCCTGAGCGTTTCCACCCAGTCTGGACTGTGACCGTATCCTAGAAGGACGTGGAGGCCAGGGGCAGAACAACACAGGGAAGTTTACACCACAGCTTCCCCTCACTGCTTGGGCCACCGCTGAGAAACTACTCCTCTGCACGCTTACTTACGTGTGTAGGTAAACACACAACATCGATTGCATTACTTTTATTTTTAGAAAAGAGAATTAAAAAAAAAAAAAATCCACCTTTGTTTCACTTCCTACATTTAAAAGAAATACAGTGTGGTTTGCTAAGACATGCAAACCCCTTTGTTCAAAAAAGGCAAAGAAAGCAAACAAACAGCATTTTTTTTTCAGGTAAATCAACTCCTTGATTACAAAACCACTATCAAAACTAAAAAGATCTATAATACAGAGAAAGTGGTAGCAGGGAAATAATTTACTGCTATCAGAAAAGAATGATAGAAAACAAAACCAAACCCCACAGAATTCTGAAGGCTCCAAGCCCCCTTGTTCCTGTGTCACCAATACACGATTTACATCCCTGGAGGTGCGACACGGCAGCTGCCCCATCCACACCGCTGAGCTGAGCCATCTGATGTTGACGTCCTCTAGCTACAGCTTCCACACACAGAAATGAAGATGGAGCTGGCAGGTTATTTGGCCCCATTCTTATACAAAACTGTTGTACATTCTTACACCAAACGCTGTATATAGGGTTTTCTCAGATGCAGCTGGTAATCCATTCTTTTTTCCTGGTGAACACCACAGAACTGGGTGTTCTTATGCCCCAGCTTCCAGAATTGGGTATGTCAGATATAAACTCCATTCTCAGCAAAAAAAAAAAAAATATATGCAGGTTTTACAGCAGCAGAGGAAAAGTTTAAAATATTAATCACAGTAAGCCTTTAATGCCCCAAAATCAGAAGACAAATACACCTCATTTTCTTTCTGGATTTTTACATCAGTCTTAAGATGTAAAGGCTCATTGTTTCCAGTGTATGAAGTGAACAAAGTGAACTGTGATGCAGTGAAGCTCTCCATGTCTCAGACCATAGTCCATTTATATCCAACTATATTTTTGAGTATACTCATAACCTTGACCCTCTTGGTGAAAAAAAAAAAGGACATCAGAAAACCAAAGACTATCTTTTCCTGATCCCTCATTTTCTGTTCCCTTGTCCCCTCCACTGCTTTGACAATTCCTCTCAGTAGCCAGACTCAGATCTCCACCTCTTCAGCTATTCCCCCCATCCTTTATTTTCCTTCATTTCTCTCTCCCTCATCTACTTGCTTTTCCATCCATCTTCGGCTCCCTTCCACACATAGCACAGAGCTCTAGAAAACCAACTCATGTCTGAGAACAAACTTCAGCTCAATTACGTGAAGAAGATTATTTCCTCATCCTTGCATTTTTTTGACCCGATCTGACTTAGAAAGCGCTGGAAGTTTTTGCAGAGAAGAGCACTCAGTCCGGGGGAAGGGGCTGGGACCGGTTGTCCAGGAGGTTTCTCAGATGCGGGTCTCAGATTTCATCCTAAGAAAGCAGCACTGGCCTCGCGTCCTGCCCTGCGGGGTGCGGGGAGCTGCGCTAGCGGACGAAGGATGCCACCTGAGCTGCCACTCCAAAGGGAGCCGAATAGGCCGTCGCTAATCCTTGCAGGCCGACCACCAAGTAGCGGCATCCCTTCTGCAGAGCTTTGCCGACGTTCTGCGGAGAGAGACGGGAGAAGGGGGTAAATAAACGGAGAGGTGGTAGAAAACACCTTCACAGTTCTGGCAGCCAGTGGCACTGACCCAGAAAACGAACTTCTCCCACAGCTTGTAAGGCTCGAGCACGAGACAACATTTTACCATCTGGTTTTTTATACAGAAATACACACCCACAGAGTACAGTTAAACCGAATGGATGCAGACTCCACAGGAAGCCAGGCTTTTACGTGGGCTTCTATTCAAGAATAAAATTAGTTTAAATTCACACCTAGTTTGTAGAGGTACATGTTTCCCACACACACATGTTCTAAGTATGTCAGTAACTCTTAAAAGCATGTAAGAGGTTAAAACTGGTGCTGAACAAGAAGGCAGTAAATCATTGTGAATACGTTCACGGAAATGTCATTGCTTTTTGTCAAAACAAGACTGCTTTGATCCAAATAAGAATGTTTTGACCCACTTTCACATCTGTACATGTTTAAGAACTCATCAGTGTAATGCATTAAAGATAATTTGCTACAGATTATTTAAACTAAAAACCGTAATCTAATTTTAATTTCACTCTTGATAGCTTTTGCTCATATGGCTGGTCATGACTGGGGAATTAATACAACGTGGTCAGTTTGGGAGGAATATCAAAACTAAGTGTTAGCAACACTTTATGGTTGTGGGGGACTAGATCAAAGTCATCTCTTATAATATGGAAAACACTGTAACAGAGGTTATACTTTTAATTCTGTGAAATCCAGTCCATATCTATTATATTCCTAGGATTTCTCAAAACTGGATTACAGTGGTACTGACACATGAAAAACTTCAGATGCCATGATGCCACTACATAGCTGAATTTTGCCGTATTTACTTCTATGGAAACTTGCTTGACAGGAGTTAAGAGGGCAAAATAGAAAGGCACCTGTAGCACGGGGCAGCGGAGGAGGCAGGGCTTTCCCTTCCCACATCTGCCCCTGGTCTACTCTGTTGCACTGGCGGCTTCTTTCCTCCTTCCCGTGCTGTGAGACCTCCCTACCCCGGCCTCGCCGAGGCCTTCACGAGTTGATCTTTATTTCCAGAGCCCAACGGGCAAACCTTCCCAGCGGGGGCGTTGTCTGACCGGTACAAAAGGGAACACGCGGGGTCCTAGAAGTGGCCTGTGCTCCACACCACTGTTACAAGCGCCCTTACACCCCCAGCACATACAGCCAGAGCACCGACAGCAAAATCATGAACTGCTGCCACATAACCACCCTCACACAACCGCTCGGTAGCAATCAGGCCTACAGACCTGAGGCCGCTTCGTACTGCGTGTGTTTATTGCAACTTGGAAATCACAGTGTTGGACACTCAAAGTATCAAATCCATCATGGGAGAATTAAATATTCTATTCCTCTCTTTATAAAGCAGTAGTATTTGTGAGGCAGCTCACGACTACGCTGTCATCTGTAAACCCTGAAAATTTCAAAAGTAAGTAACTTTGCCAAGCTGACTGGCATTGTCTACATGTCAGGCATAGCAAGTATATCTTTACCAAAATCATCATTTTTTTAAACAGCGTAATAGAAAGTCACGTCTCGTACTGACATCTGTAATCTCTCCAGTAGGAAAAGATTTCCAGCACCAGACAGGTTTTTCCTACGAACGCTCAAGTTATTTTTTTTTGCTACAAATATCCAAGACATACCTGAGCTGAATTTAAGTGACATGAACTAGAGACAAATTAAATTCTTCCAAATAGCACTTTTGCAACTAAAGGCACCACCCACCCTCCAGGGGAAAAAAACAAAACCAAAACACAAAAGAAACCACCAGACTGCAGGACTTGTGACTTCCCAGACAGGAAAGCTAAAGAACAATTTTGATTCAAAATAGTTGTTACACAATGAAGAACATGCCGCATTTTTTTTCTTTAACTCGTACCGCTGACTTTCAGGGGACACTTAGAAGGTAAACTGGCAAACGAGTGTACTGGAGGGATAATATTACCCTTTCTTTCGGTCACTTAAGTAGAAGGAGGGGAAAAAAAAAAAAAAAAAAAAAGAAAAAAAGCAGGGCGATTAACTGGAAGTTTTAAGGAATAGTGTCAAAACAATGACGCCGAGGGAGATGCAGAACAAAGGCAAAGTACCCGTCACATGGATCAGCTTAGTGTCATTTTCACTCCGAAACGGCAGATTTTCCACCCTCTGACCCAGGCGAGGGTCGGTGTCCCCCCCGGCGAGAGCCCGCGGGGCTGAGCCCCGCCGCCGCGGTGGCCCGAAGGCCGAGGGGGACCCCCGGAGCCCCTCGGAGGAGCCGGTGCCGAGCCCCCGCCGCCCGGCCGGCCCCTTGCCGGGGGTCCCGGCCCCGGCAGCTCCCCGCCCTCACCTTGCCGTACTTCTTCAGCCGCTTCCCGTAGGGCCGCTTCCCGGCGGCCCGCGGCGGGCGCAGCGGCTCGTAGGAGTCGGGCAGGAGGGCGAAGCGCACCTTCCTGGAGGCAGCGCCCTCCTCCTCCTCCTTTTCCTTCTCCTTCTCCTTCTTCTTCTTCTTCTCCCCCAGCGCCGCGGGCCGCGGGACCCCCGCGCTGCCCCCAGCCGCCGCCGCCTCCTCCTCCTCCTCCTCCTCCTCACCGGGCAGGATGCAGACCCGGTCCTCGCCGGCCCCGCGGCGGGAGTACCTACCCCTCGCCTTGGCGCCCAGCCGCGCGCCCACCGTCATGGTGCCGCCGCGCGGAGCTGCGGGCGCTGCCCCTCAGGTGGGGCCGGAGGCGGCCGCTGCCCCTTCCCCGGGGCGGGGCCGGCTGCGGGGGGAGACGCCCCCGGGAACCGGCCCGGGACAGCGGGGCGAGCACCGGCTGCGCTGCGGGAAAGCGCGTCTGGGCTTGCCGGGGGCGGGGGGGGAGGCCGGGGCTCGTTCCCGCCGCAGCCGAGCAGGGGGAAGCCCAGCCCGTCGCTACCGGGCTGCTTCGGCCTCCACGCCGCTGGGGAAACACTGAAATAGCTCCTTCCCGGGCATCGCGTGCACCGCCCCACGCCAGCAAACGGGTTGGGGAGATCGCGCTCTTTACCACTCAAAAAAAAAAAAAAAAAAAAAAAAAAAAAGCGCCAAACTCCCTGGGAATCCCTCTATTTCAGGTGCTCCTACTACTGCCTCGGGCGAAGAGGGCTCCGTTCCGCTGCCCCTGGCCGAGGGGAACGTGCCGGAGCGTTCTTTTAAAGGCAAAGTTTCTCAGTGGGGGGGGCTGACAGCCCCTGGCCTCTGCGGCGGGGTGGGCCGCGGTGTGACCGCTGCACCTCCTGAGCCGGGCTGGGGCGGCGGGGGCAGGTCGAGAAGAGCAAACTGGTGTAGGGAGGATTGATAAAATTTAACTGAAACCAGCTGGTGGATTTCTCAACGTTCGATACGTATACAAATACTTCGGACAAGCAGATGCAACAAGGGGACGGACGATGGATTTTTCTTACTGAGGAGCAAAGCGAGGGACCTGTGTCTCCCCAAGATGCGTCCTTAACAGTCAGCAAGTAAATCCTGCACCTAGGCTAGCTGTCTGCCCCACGGACGGTGTCACCACCCGCCCGGCTCCAGCCAGAGAGCGGTGTGACAGGCGGCCTGGCCAGTCCTCTGGAGGGTGGAAGACGTGAGCGAGGTCTCCGCTCAGTCACTATGGGAGAAGTGCTCTGGCCCTTCCCCTGTTTTCTATTAAAGGCATCACCACTCCTGTTGCCATCATCAGGTTTTTAATTTGAATCTCTGGAAGGCTGAGGTGGAGACCAAAACCCAGGGCAGGATTTCGCGCTCTGAGTACCAGTCCCAAATGTCTTCCTCCAGGGTTTTGGCCATGACAGCGCTTGCAGAACCTGTTTCTGAGCCCCCCACCTTCACGCCCCCAGCTCCTGGAGCCAGATGCTGAACTTGCCCTCCTCCCATGGCTGCAGGTGTGTCCTAAACACGGCAGAAACGGTGAGAGTAGCACCATCAGTCCTTCCCAAGTACCTATTTTAAAAATAATCACATGGGAGGGAGCCTGAAGCAGTAAAGGAGTTAAAATTTTGCATGCTCTGATACACTGCTGTAGATTTTAATGTGCTACTTTCAGATAGTCTGAGGGATGAAGTAATTGCTTGATGCTGAGCAAGTAGCAGCATCAAAAAATAAAATATCAGTAATCTGGGATCTTTCATCTCGTTAACCTCAAACTACCTTGAAAAATTTTAAACAACAAAAAAATGCATTAAATATTTTTCTAGAGCTTTGAAAAGTGTTTGCATCTAGGTTTTCTATTTATAAACCCATTCCTGAATGTATACTTTGCCCCGAATGAGAAGTACAAAGATAACCTGTCTTCTCAAGAGGGCAGGCCTTTCCCCGCAGACTGGGTTTGTACCTCACAAGTATGTTTCATTTCCAGAGTTCAGCTATCAAAACCTCCGAGAACGCAACTCTTTGTTGAGATTTACTGTCTCTGTCTGCGTGGCGGCAGGGCAGCCACAACACATTCTGAGGTTAAGAGGTCCAAGGTGCCTCTGGACATCAAAAGGCTCATGTCTAACAGCCATGGAATTTTAGCTTCATCGCAACTATTTGGCATTAATGACAGTGCTCAGTTCTCAAGCATTATTTTACACCCACCAGGAGGGGTGAACGTTTATAGTCCTTTTGTTGACCTATATACATTTTAATGTTTTAAACTGGACTGCACGACAAGGGATCTGCTTAGTTTGGAAGTGTCTGTAGATCTCAAATAAAGCAAAAAACCAACCCCAACCCAAAACAGCAGAACCATGCAGTAGTCTTACTGTTCACACCCGAAACACCCCTAGAAACACTGCCAAGAAATGACAATTGAATACATAAGCCCTCTGAAGATCCAAGATGCCCCTGTCCCTTCCCGGAGCTAAACAACGTGACATGGCATTTAACTGTCTTTAGGATTTCTCAAGCTAAAGCTTTGGGGTGCTGTGTCTCATGGGAGAGCTGAACTAAAATTTGTAATTTCTGTCCTGTGGAAATGCTATCTGTGTTTTCTGGAACACCAATACATCTCTGGTTACATGATGTGCTGAAAACCAGCAACAATCTGGGGCAAAGTTATCCGTGCAAAACCAGGGCCGGTAAAGCGGGAAGCTACCCTAAGTACTTAACCTACCGTCTCACAGCATGACCTACATTGTTTCCACTGAACCTTCCGAAACGGGTTCTGTTTCATGACTACGTTCATACACGATCCTGGATTAACATCACTGCTCCGTTCCAGGGGTGTATTTTCAGGGATAATTGAACATTCACGGACAGTTACAGGTAAAGTGAGCAGACACACAAACCCTTCCCGAGGCTGATTTTTAGTGAATTTCAGGAATAGCTCCCGGACATCCAGTTCCGAGAAGTACTAAACCACTGACAGTTCCTGGCTGACAGAACCGAGCAACGCTAATCCTGAGCTCACGCAACACTGAAGGTGAAGTCTGTACCCCTTCAGACTACTTCGCTACCTGCAGCAGTTATTGTGCTTTTTTATAAAGGGCAAACAACAAGTATTTTAGTATGAGAACTGTTCAAGTAAGTTTTAATAGAGTGCACCAGTGAATCAAGATGACTTGCATCAGATTTTGTTTCAATGAACATCAGATAAAAAAAGAAAAGGGGCTACAATTCTTTCTTTCCAAACACCACCCTTTTTCTAAGGCAACAATACACGTCCATTTCCGAACATAACTGTTACATAGGAAAGCTACATCACAGTACAGTATGTAAAGTCCATCTCAGTCAAGAAGCCATTAGAGAATGGCACATTTACTACACTTACAGCCTTCTAACTTAGGGTTACAGAGTTTACCACAGCTTTTTTTTTAATTTTTATTTTTTAAAGTGACAATTTCTTAATGAACTTTCTATTCTTCACAAGAGTGTGCAGATGGGGCCCATATGTTGATATTACAGTAATTACGACATTAAATAACATTGCACAACCAACCTCTATGGTTAATTCAGTACAAAATAACAAGTATTAAAATGTACCAGTACTAGTGGTTTTACATAGTTTATAATCATTAATTATGAAGGAAAAAAATGTGGGTGTTTTTTTTTTTTTTCTTTTCTTTTCTGTAGGCAAGTGCCTAATTACAAAGCTGCACATTACAGGCATAATGATGTGGAATAAATACAAGAAATCTGGTAAAATATTAAACACAAACAGGTTACATGGGAACAAACTGTACAACCACGAAAGCATAAATCAACAATTTATCATTATAAACAAGGTATGTTTAGCTGTAAAATATTATGTGGAATTCCATGTACTCTCTGGGGGCACATGTTCCAAAAGCCAAGCTAATTCCTGAGGTGGTATTATTAACTTATACAATTGGTCAACACTTCAGATTATCTTGTGCTATTAAACAGTCCCAATATTAATATATTTCCATAAAATGGAATTTATAGTATTCTGAAGGCAGCAAACAATTGATATTTTACACCATGATATTCAAATGAAATAATTACGGTTCTCCATTTTGGTGCTACATTTGTTAATGGGCCATGGGAGTAAGCACTGTAATTTGTAGACAGAACATCACTTATGCCTGGTTTCTGTTCCCCCACAGCTCTGAGCTGGCCCAAGGCAGAACAAAGTTTTTAAACTGTAAGTGCCAACACTGTAAACATGTTTGTTTGGTTGGGGTTTTTTTTTGTGTTTTTTTTTTTTTTTTTTCCCCCCCCCTCCCCCCCAACTAAACACTGTCCAATAACAAGGATAAGAGCCAAAGATAAGCAGGAACAGTCTCGTGTAGAACAGAAGCCGATTATTCATCGACTTCTGGTTCAAATCATGAACAATCTTTAAATAATTAAAAATGGTCATGCTACAGTTGTGAAAACTATTTTTGTGCATTTGACTCAGGACACAAGTTTTTTTTAAAAAATGCATGATAGAGGTAAGACTTATAAAACCCACCAAAAATGTAAATGATAGGGAAGAACTTTTCCAACTCAAAGCATCAAACATTTCTGTGCAGAAATCTAGACAACTATACAAGATCTGAATTTAAGCAGTCATCTTTTTATTATACAACTCTATGAACATAAAATGAACAGAATGCTCTATATACTTACCTGTACATGTGAACATAACTTCTTTAGCTACAGTTATTTAATATAGGTCATACTGGATTTAACTTTACAATTCTGAATAACTATGTATAACCTTATTGCAATAAGGGCAATTTCTACATGGGGAGTTTCACAGGCCAATCACATTAGGCGTAACCAGTACATTCAAAGAGTAGATCATGTACGAATCTTCCCTGATCCCAAAAAAGTTTAGGTTCTCTTTACAGCTTAAGCTCGTTTGCTATCTTGGATGCAATGTTCTTAAATGCGATAGAAGTCCCAGATATTCGCTTGAAACGAACTCCATTGAGCGACAATCGTGGCAGTTTGCAGACTTCCATCTCCCACTGAACAAGGCTATCTTGTCGTGCGTCACCGTGAACACAGAAGAGCAAAAACCTCTCTTTTTGTTCGTAATCACAGTTATTAGCATCTAACACTTTCCGAATCTCTCTCATCATATCATTCGGGTCCATAGAACTAGTGGTCTTCATACTCCACGTGAATCGCAAGGAGCGTGGCTTCGAATCTTTGCTATCCTCCTTCTCTCTGTCTTTGGGCTCCCCGGAAGCACTCCTGGAAGAAGTGACATACAGAACAGTCAAAAACCGAAAGCCGTGCAACCAAGAGACAGAAGTACAGTTCCTGAACAGGGGTTTCTAAACTGCGACCGACGCACCACTAGCCACACACAAGCTAATGCAGAGTCAGATGGCTGCTGTCGGAGCAGCTGCACGCCGTCCCCCGCGGGCGGGCGCCTCAGCACACCGCTGGCAGCGGCTCCCAGCAGCGGCACGCGGGCAAAGCGAATTTGGAAACCCCTGCTCTAACACGTTCTGATGACAACATGGGCAATGGAAACTG